TCCTCTGCCAGAGCAATTCTTTTAACCATCTTTCCAGCTCCAAGTGGAAGAATCCTCTATCTCATGTTGTCCTTGAATTATCTCAAACTGCGTGTCTTCGTACTGTTTGTAAGTAGTTCTAAGATGAAAAGAAGTCAGCTCTCCATGGTAACACACATCCTTCGCATTACAGAAAACTTGGGGGCCTGGTTGTTCTCAATTTTTTCTTCTTTTTTGTTTTGCTTTTCCTGACAGGGTTTCTCTGTGTAGCCCTAGCTATTCTGGAACTTGCTCTGTAGACCAGACCGGCCTGTAGACTCAGACATCCACCCACCTCTGCCTTCCAAGTGCTGGAATTAAAGGGGTGTGCCACCACTGTCTGTCTTTCTTGATATTTTCAACCAGTGGAATTTGTTTCTCTATTAGACTCCTCTGAGGAATGTCAGCATATAAACCACATGAAAGTACTCTGGTGGGCAGGGCCCACTAGTGTTCTGGGTACTCCATAGACTGGCTTGAAGTGCTGACCTGTCTCTACCTATGAAAACTGTGAAAGGCAGTGCTTCAGGAAGGCTAACTGGTCGACCTTAAAGCCTACAGCAAGCACAAAGATGTTAACTAAGAGTTAGCCTCTGATTCATAGAAACCATAGTTTTGGATTCACTACTGTATCACCAGAATCAAGCCCAGGATCTGGGGTTTGACAAGAACTTACTGAAGGAAAACATGAAGCTGACTCATCACCAAGAGCATCTATTTTTAAAGTGCTATAATGAAAAACTGTTTTATACATCTTTAATAAAATCTCATATCAGGGATGTCTTTAATCCCAGCACTTGCGAGACAAAGGCAGATGGATTTCTGTGATCCAGCTTCATCTACAGAGTCAGGCTACACAAGGAAATCCTGTCTTGAAAAACTGGGGTGCGGGGGGTTTTGTTTCTTTAAAAAAATTTAAATATTAGCCAGGCGGTGGTGGTGCACACCTTTAATCCCAGCATTCAGGAAGCAGAGGCAGGTGAATATCTGTGAGTTTGAGGCCAGCCTGGTCTACAAGAGCTAGTTCCAGAACAGGCTCCAAAGCTACAGAGAAGCCCTGTCTTGAAAGAAATGAAAAAAAAAAAGAAAAAAAGAAATATTTATTTTGTTTGCTGTAGTGATATTTCATTTATATTTTAACAAATAAAGCTTGCCTGAAGATTAGAGAGTAAAACATCCCCACTGGTCAGTCTTACAGACCAGGCAGTAGTAATATACACATTTAATCCTAGTGGCCACACTAGTTTGCCATAGAAACTGGGCAGTAGTGGCGCACGACTTTAAATCCAGCTCTGTAGAGGAATATAAAACAGAAAGAAGCTGCTCTCAGACACAATCTTTTTCTCAAGATTCCCGGAGGCAGGAACGCCATTTTAGACTGAGGTAGAGATAAAAGCCAGTTGCTGGCTGTTTTGCTTTTCTGACCTTCATGTGGAACCCCAGTATTTGTCTCTGAGTTTTTGTAGTCAGTGGCTGCTCATTTGTTTCCCTGCCACCCAAACTTTCAAAACAATCACACAGAACCTATATTAATTAAGTCACTGCTTGGCCTGTTAGCTCTAGCTTCTTACTGGCTAGCTCTTATATCTTAAATTAACCCCTTTCTTTCTTTCTTTCTTTCTTTCTTTCTTTCTTTCTTTCTTTTTTTTTTAAAAACAGAGTTTCTCTGTAGTTTTGGAGCCTGTCCTGAAACTAGCTCTTATAGACCAGGCTGGTCTTGAACTCACAGAGATCCATCTGCCTCTGCCTCCCAAGTGCTGGGATTAAAGGTGTGCACCACCACTGCCCAGCAAATTAACCCATTTCTATTATTTTATATTTTACCATGGGGCTCGTGGTTTGCTGGCAATGTTCCAGTGCATCTTTTTCCTGCAGTGACTACATGGCGTCTCTCATCTCCACCTACTCTCTCCACCTCTATCTGCTTGGAATTCCTACCCTATTCTACTAAGCCACTGGCTGAAACAGCTTTATTCATTAACCAATAAAAGCAACACATAGACAGAAGGACTTCCCACACCATTTCTCCTTTTCTGTTTAAATAAAAAGAAAGTTTTAAGTTTAACATAGTAAAATTACACATTAAAAAACAGGTATCAAGCAAAAATTATAGTTACAATATTTATATCTACTTTATCTTTTATTATAACTAAGGAAAACTATAACTATCTATTCTTCAACTCCATCAAAGACCCCAGAAGGATATAATTTTACCTAAGTTAACAGGAAGTGCATTGTAAGCAACTTCCAAAACTCTGGAAATGACAGAGACATCTTGCTGCCTGGACAGTCACCCAAAGTTCTTTTGAAACATTGGGGCATCCAACTTCAGCCTACAGGCCCATAGTATCCAGCAGACTTTTCCATGAAGCAAGAAATTTCAAAGACAGTTCCACCTCTATTGGCAGTTTGTCAGTCACTTTCTTCTGTGTCCTGCAGAATGTCTGGCAGACTCTTTTTGTTCTTTCATGAAGCAGAAACCCTGAAGGACTGTCTCACCTTTAGGCAAGTTTAGCAGTCATTTTTCTATGGGTCCTGCATGTCCATTTCATACAGCACAACATCAAGCAGTCCAGGCAAGAGCAGTTTCTTACCCAAATGACTAGCAAACTCCATAAGGAAACTCTTCAATGCCCATCTTTCCTTGAAGTAGATTGGTGCTGCCAGGAACAGATGTGTCTCATTGTCATAAAAAGTCCTAAGTTCTTAAAATATTTTAAATGCCATATTACATAAGTCCTTGAAAGGTTTGAAGATTATCTATCTAACTGAAATATATGTCTATATATCTAGAAAAATCCTAACTAACATGACTACAAGCTTGACTATTATAGATGACTATCTATTAACCTGTATTTCTTAATTATGCATTATATTTTTAAATGAGCTGCACAAACACAAAACCTTAATCAAGAGCAGATAGATATATATATATAACAAATATATATATTTGTTATAAATATAAATAAATAAATAGCAAATTGATCTCAAATTTGTGTCAATAAACCAAGATCTATACCAAGACAAATCTCTATAGCATGTTCCCTTTTTAAATGTAAACAAACATTTATAAACAATATTTGGGAATTTGGGTGTACTTTTCTCCAAACTGCTTCCTGCTTTTTTGTTGGGCAAAGTAATTTTTGGGGGTGTTTATGGTGACCTTTTGGGATGTCTTGATCCATCAAACCATAATTGTCTGGAAGGAATCCGCAGGTTCTCCGTGGAAACAAAAGAAAAACCTCTTTTTCAAAGCAACAATTCCTGAGTCGTAAAATTTGAAGTCAAGATACCTTTAAAATATATTTTTTGGTTTAGCTTAGCAGCCCATACAATGAGATGTCTCTTTATACTTGGCTCCTTCACAGTCAAAAAATTCAACGAAAACAGAATAATATACATAATCCAGACTCTCCGTGTATACTCCATCTTTACACGGCTTATTTTTCTGGACTCCTTCCATCTATAACTGTCTGTACTCTGTCTCTTTAAAGGCTTTGTTTTATTATTTTTATAACCAATTACTTCCTTTTATAACTGTCTATATTCCTTTTCCTCTCTCTCGGGTCTATGTACATTTATCCAACACTGTGACCCATTTAGAGGTCTTTTTCATTTGAATTTGAATCTGTCTTTATTGTGTATCTGTAATTGATTATTGACCAGGAACGCCTTTTTTTTTTTTTAATGCTAAGCAGCCGTGGCTAGGACCAACTCCACGGTTCTGCCTGCTTGCTCTACTCAGAAGCATTGCAGAAGCATGTTCTCTGCCTCTGAGAGCCATTCTCTCCACCCCAGATCCAGGGTCTTAGTGGGTCTGTGTCACCATTAAGTAATTTGAAACACACTGCTCACAGGCTCCATTTAAATGCTCCATAGCCGGACCTCCCAAAAGAGTCAGAGCCCTTCATGCTGGTGAACCAGGAAGCCACCTTTTATTTTTTTTTTAAAGAAGCTGTGTAGTTTTTACTGCTGAAACTGAATCAGGAAACCTCTTAAAGGAGCCACATCTCTGCTTTGTGCTAGCAAACAGAGTAAGAAGCTGCATTAAACTCTGTTTTTCCTTTTCAAGCTCTCTCAGGTTTTTAAGCGGATTTAGGTTGACCACGTTGGCACCAATTTGTAGTCAGAGGTTGGTTGTTTGTTTCCCGGCCACCCAGACTTCCAAAATAATCACACAGAAACTGTATGAATTAAATCACTGCTTGACCTATTAGCTCTAGCTTCTTATTGGCTAACTCTTACATCTTAAATTAACCCATTTCTATTATTTTATATTTTAAATGGGTCTATGGCCACACTACCCTGATTGTCTTTCTCGGAAGCTAAGCAGGGTTCAGCCTGGTTAGTACTTGGATGGGAGACAACTTGGGAATACTGGGTGCTATCGGTTAAAAAAAAAACCTACTTAAATGAATATTATTAGGCTTAAAAAGTAAGCTGTGCCAGGTGTGGTGGTGAATGCCTTTAATGTCAGCACTGGAGAGACAGAACAAAACGGATCTCTGTGAAGTTGAGGCCAGTCTAGTCTACCTAGTGAGTTCTAGGACAGCCAAGGCTCCATAAAGAAACCTTGTCTCAGAAAGTATAAATACATACAACAAACAAAAAAAGTAATCCCTACCTTTCTATAAGAGCCAGAACAAGGCAGATTAGGAAATGATTCAAATGAAAAACTTAAAACTGAGGGCTGGGCATACCCTGGGTTGGGTGGTGACCTTTGGTAATGAAATGCCAGGTACTTGTTTCTGTTCTGAAGCTACACGGCATAGTAGTTATATTCCCCAGTGTTTCATTGCACGTGGTCCCCTCCACCTGGCAGCCAGGACCCTGCCCATGCCTACCTCTGACTCCTCATGCCAAGTCTGAGGCCCCTAACCAAGTCCCTCAAGCTCGGGCTTCCCTAACCCCTCTCCATCATGTTCTTCTAGGGAACCTGAGACATCCACACTTAAGTATCAGAGCCAAAAACCAGCACTAAATGATGTCAAACAGTGTTGTTTTTTTAAAAAAAAATGATGAATAACATGGGGTGCCAGGAGGGGGTTGCCTGCCTCAAGTCTGAGCTGTCCTGGAGGCTTTGACAATTCCACCCCGAGAGGACCATCTGTCTGCCGTCTTCAATGCAATTTGCTGACTCATGGCTCACGATGTTCCTCTGAGAACAATTAATCAGCAATCTTCCGGCGTTTTAGCAAGAAGGCCCGGAGGAGGCTGCCCCTGGAGATGAGATTTGAATTAGCAGCAATATGGAAAGAAGTCACATTACTGCATTTGCTTAATATTTGCTCAAGTGGGGGGGGGGTTCCCATGTAAAAATGAAAAAAGGACAAAAAGAACTAAAAGTATTAAGATAGCAGAGTGGGAAGATACTGTTAGGCAATACACACATTTTATAGGAAAAGGTAGAGTCGGTCCTATGCTAAGCCTCCCATGACCACACAGCTTACAGCAGATCTCAACATCAGGTTGCTTTTTAATGTTCAGGGCATGACATAAAGAACAGAGTTCTATCTGCCTATCATCTTGAGATAAAGCCCTGTCTTCACTAAGCCGTTACTTTCCTGACCACAGAAGCCTTGCCTGGTTTTGCTTGCTACTTACTTGGGGAGTATCAGGCCCATGGCCCATGTGTAATGAATACCTGCTGGGTGAGTATCAGCCAACATAGTCAAACATCAACAAATTCCAAGTAGCACAGAGTCAACACGACTTGAATAACCGACAGCTGAATAATTGTCAAGGTGTTGCTCACATGTTACAGGGGCAGGCTTCATCAAGAATTTGTTGGATTACACTGTGTTCGAGTGCTGAGGGAAAAGGCTTTCTGGTGGAAGTGTTGCAGCTCTGGGGAGAAAGGTATCCTGCCAGCCAGGAGCCAAGGAATACCACAAAGGCACACTGCACATCAAATTTCACACAAGAGATTCGTTGGGAAAGACACAAGGTGTCTGCCTCTGCTGGGAAGAGAAACAGCAGGGAACTGAGGTGGAGGCAGGTTTATATAGGGTTTCTTGTGGCAGAGAGTGGGGGTTGGTTTTTGAGGGCAAGATTTCCACAGTGGGAACTGGCGGGATTTCAAGTCCTGGATCTTGGGACAAGTATAGGGCCTGGGGGGATTTCGAGCTCAGAGATTGGTGGGATTTTTAAGATTATGGATTAGGTTAAGTTAAATAAGCAGAAAGGGATGATAAAGACTCCCAGAAATAGATTGCATACAGCTTTATTAATTTTGAATTTTCTAAATGCTAATGAGAAAGGAATGACAGCTTCCCAAAGGAATGACACTGAATAACAGAAAAAAAAACTACAGGATAAATCAGCTGCTATACTTTAAAGATGTGTTGATCTCGCAATGGAAACCAGGACATGTGTTAGATGGGGAAGGAGTTTCACAGAAGAAAAGCTATGGATACCATCAAAACTGATGAAGACTCAATTTGAACAAGAGAGACAGGGTTTCTCTGTGGCTTTAGAGGCTGGCCTCAAACTCACAGAGATCTGCCTGTCTCTGCCTCCTGAGTGTTTGAATTAAAGGTGTGCGCCCCCTACCCCCCCACCCTGCAAGAGAGACTTCTTTGTTTTTTTAAGGTTTATTTATTTATTATGTATACAGTATTCTGTCTGTCTGTATGCTTGCAGGCCAGATGAGGGCACCAGATCTCACTATAGATGACTGTGAGTCACCATGTGGTTGCTGGGAATTGAACTCAGGACCTTTGGGAAAAAAGCAAGTACTCTTAACCTCTGAACCATCTCTCCAGCCCAAGAGAGACTTCTTAATTAGAAGAGATGATAGTTCATCAAACAGCATGGTCGTTTAATCTAAACTAACCTATAAAACTAACAAATGCTTTTCATTTAATCCGATACAACTTCAGGAAAATAAAAACAACCGTCTTAAGGAATTTAAAGACCTTTACACAAATAAGCATCCAAAGAAGAAGGGAGAACTACCTGGAAAAAATTACCAAGAAAAGGAATAATCTGACCTAATATGATCTCCGAAGTCTTCAAAAAGACAATGGAATCCCACAGTGATGATTTTGGCTGTACTATGATAACACCACTAAGCTGAAAAACACCAACTAAAGACTGGCTTTGGACTACAAACTGCTCAGGACAATTTCAAGGTGGCTAGCTGAGATGATCCAGTCTTATGGACTACTATAGCCAGGGATTGAGACAAGCCCTACACCTTCCCATTACTCAGAGACGGGACAAAAAATGATACAGCCACCTCTCCCAGGACTGAACAATTAACCTAAATTTTTCTTTTCAGGATCCCTCTAAAGATGTCTTTGGTCCCAGACAACAGGAAATAAAGGGTTGATTTTTTGTCTTTCATTGGGTTATGGATATTTGTCATTGTTTGGGAGGTTTGGTTATAAGTTGTTATTGGTAATGATCAGGAAAAAAGCTAAACAAAGGAAATTAGATACAGGGTTCTTGTTTTGAAAAGAAAAAAAGGGATATAGATATAATAAGATAAAAGGGTAGATTATTGAATCTACTCTGAAAAGAAAAAAAAAGGAAAGATATAAATAAGATTTAAAAGGTAGATTATTGAATCTACTTCTCAAAAGCAACTACTAGTTCTCAATATTTTACATTGGATTGGATTTTGTATATTGTATACAAAATTAGTATATTGATACAAATTTGAGATTAATTTTGTTAGAACATATTGTATGTACATTTCTAATCTTATTCAGCTTGTACAGCTCACTTAACGATGTAATGCAAATTTCTAGTTCTTGAAAGTTATTATTATTAACTGTTTGAGATAATAAGGAGATGCAGTTTAGTAATCATCCACCTATTATAAACAAACTTGTAGTCACATTAGGTATGTTTTCAAGATCAAAAGAGATATAGTTTAAATATTCAGGTCATCTTCAAACACTTCAGGGATCCACAGAATATGGAATTAAAGATGTTTTAATAACATAGGTGCTTTTTTTTTTATGACAATGAGATACATCTGCTCCTGGCAGCACACCAATTTACTTCAGAGAAGATGAAAGGAATCAAAGAAACTCCACGTGGAGTTTTCTTTCTTTGTAGCAAAAGTAAGCCACTGGGCAAGAAAGTGCTCTTGCCTCGAATGCTGACAGTATGCTGTCCTAATTGGACAAGCAGAACACAAAAGAAAGTCCCTATAAAACATTGTCAAGACAAGGAGGGATAGCCCTTCAGAATATCCTGCTTCACAGAAAAGTCTGTTGAATATTCTAGGCCTATAGACTGAAGATGGATGACCCAGTGTTACAGAGGAAACTTGGGTGACTGTCCAGACAGCCAGCTGTTTCCGTCATTTCTCACATTTTTATAAGTTACTTACTTGCACTTCTCGGGTCTCTGAGAGAGCTGAAGACTAGATAGTTGGAGTTTTTGTTTACCAGACGTAGAAAAGAAATTCACTAAAGAAATGTAAAGTATATGAGGTTGAGAGACTCAGTTACTTTTGAGTACATAATGCAAGTTAGAATAGAAAGTGAATGGGACTCAACAAGATAGGATAGATAATGAAGTATTGTCTCTGAATTTGTCAAATGCGAATGGAGTAGACATACCCTCTTCTGACATCTATGGGCACCCATGTGGCGCACAGACATACATGCAGGTGATATATCCACATACATAAAAAGACATACAGATACATAAAAAGCCAATAATTTTAGAATCAAACTATTGGCTTTTATTACTCAGGTGCCCCTTCGGAAAAGCCATGTAGTAAACAGGGTAGGGGTAGGACCACAACTCGGGATTGGCTCATACTACTCTACATACATGTAGAGGCAGCACTGCCCTCAGAGAAGACACAGGAGGTACACTGGTCATATGTGGCCTTTGAGACACACATGAAGCACTGGGGAGCCCAGCATGTGTGCAACAGAAGCCAGGTATGGCCCACTGCCTGCCTAGGCTTCTCCCCACCACAGAGCTGCTCTCTGTGTCCAGAATCACAGAGATGAGTCTGCCAGTGTAGTGTTCTGTATTTGGTTTCCTTCATTAAGGTGGCATTTCGAGATTTATCCCTTTGGAAAAGACATGTATCAGTAGTTTGTTTTGAAACTTGTTAGTTCACACAAGAGCTGGCAGTTTACTTTTTATTTTTTATTTATTTTTATTTTTTGTTTTTTTGAAACAGGGTTTCTCTGTAGCTTTGGAGCCTGTCCTGGAACTAGCTTTTGTAGACCAGGCTGACCTTGAACTCACAGAGATCCGCCTGCCTCTGCCGCCACCACCACCACCACCTGGCTGCACGTGAGTCTTTAATTTGCTAAGCAATATGACTAGGATTAAAGCCATGGCTTCAACAGCTGGATCCAGCTCCGTTTTTTAGCTTTCTGAGATTCTAGCCTCATGGCAGAGCTACCGGCTGGAGCCATGTTTACTGCCACAAGGTCCCTGCCACCTCCAAAAAGCATGCAGTCAGTTTTTCATTAACACCATTTAAGTGTTTTGTGGCAGGACTCCTTAAAAGAGCTGCAAGATTTTGCAGCTAAAGCTGAGTTAGGAAGCCTCTCTCTTATTTATTTATTTATTTATTTATTTTTCAAAACAAGACTTCTCTGTAGCTTTGGTGCATGTCCTAGAACTAGCTCTTATAGACCAAGCTGGCCTCAAACTCACAGAGATCTGTGATCACCTGACTCTGCCTCCCAAGTACCTTTTCAGCAAGGTAGTCACTTCTTGCTTACTCTGTGTCTGGTTCACAACTTGGTAGTTGTCTTTTGTAAATATAGTAATTTTATTGTATACATGGGATAACTCATTGTGGGGTTTTAATTTAGTTACTTGTTTTCTGTTTTAATTATTTTCTAATTTCTTCTTTGAATTTTATTATTTATTTTACATCCTGACCACAGTTTCCGCTCCCTCCTCTCCTCCTCTGTTTTTGTTTGTTTGTTTGTTTGTTTGTTTGTTTTGCAACAGGGTTTCTCTGGGATTAAAGGCGTGTGCCACCACCGCCAGGTCTCTCCTCCCTGGTTTTTATTCAGAGCAGGACTCCCACGGATATCATTGGCCAGTCTTGGCATGCCAAGTAAGACTAGGCACCGCCTCTCCTATTAAGGCTGTATTAGGCAACCCAGGAAAAGGAGTGGTGTCCCCAAAGCCAATAACAGAGTCAGAGATAAGCCCTATTCTCACTGTTAAGAGTCCTGTAAGAAGACAAGCTACACAACTGTCACATGTATGCACAGGGCCTAGGCCAGTCCCATACAGGCTCCGTGGTTGTTGACTCAGACTCCGTGAGTTCCTATGAGCCCAGGTTGATTCTGCGAGTTTTCTTGAGATGTTCTTAACCCCTCTGGCTCCTACAATCCTTCCCTCTCTTGCACAGGATTCCCCAAGGTACCCCCTAATGTTTGACTGTGGGTCGACATCTGTTTCTATCAGTTATTGGATGACGCCCCTCTGATGACAGTTGGGATAGGCACCAATCTATGACTATAACAGAATATCATTAGGAATCATTACATTGATATATTTTTCTTCCAGACGTGTTTGGCTCTATCCCAGGTCTCTCTGGTCCATCCAGTCTCTGGGTCTTGGTGCTCCAGGCAATGTCAGAGCTAGCACGGGTCTCAGGCTAGACTGGTCATTGTTTGGCCACTTGCACAATCTCTGCACCACCGTTACCCCTTAACACCCTTCCCAACACATCACAAAGACAGGACAGACTGTAGGTTGAGGGTCATGTGACTGGGTTAGTGTCCCAATCCCGCTGCTGAAAGTTTTGTCTGGTCACAGGAAGCAACCAATTCAGGCTGTGTTAACCCCACTGGTGGAGAATAAGATCACTACCACAATTTAAAGTCAAATCTGAAGCACGCTTTATTTAAATACTGGCCAGGTAGATGGGCTCTAGTCAGGCCCATACTCAGGTTCTTGAGAAATGGCCCAAGTCAGGGTTTGCAATGGCTTAAGTATTCCCCAAATGGAGACAGGTGTGCATTCTCACATATTTCCTGCCTGTGAGCCTCCCGCCCACACATGATCAACATATCGGGTGCAGATTGAGGTAAACAAACTTGTTTAGAGGAGTAAGAACACGTGGTTTGTTATCTTTTATGCACAACAGTCTCCAGCATTTCAGTAACTATCTGTCCTTGGGTTTGCAGGTCAGAGGCCTTTTGTTTCACGCCTTTACGGCATAGAGATTAAAATTTAAAATGAGCTGGGTGGTGGTGGTGCACACCTTTAGTCCCAGCACTTGGGAGGATCTCTGTGAGTTTAAGGCCAGCCTAGGCTACAGAGCCAGTACCAGGACAGACTCCAAAGCTACACAGAGAAACACTGTCTCAAAAAACAAACAAAAAACCCCAAATCTTAAGATGTTACGTTGGCTATCATAGTTACATATCTGTAGCTGCTGGGAGACTTAGGCTGGCACAAGAGACAGCTTCACCAACAGCACAGGCACAAAGATCGACGATTCCAATGGAACCTAATGGAACTGAAAGGCTTCTGTAAGGCACAGGACAGCATCCAAAGGACAAATGACAGCCTACAGAATGGGAAAACATCTTCACCAACCCCACATATCTGACCAAGGGCTGATCGCCAAACTATGTAAAGAACTCAAGAAACTAGCATCACCCAACCCCGCCTTAAGTCTCTGTACTTTCTAACCTAACGCAACAGCCCTTTACTACCACTGGGCTTCAACTCACCTTTGTCTTCTCAAAACGGCCCTCCTCGAGTACCTACCCCTGGTAGTACCGCTTGGACCTTGCTGCTCAGATACGCCACTCTGTTTTAAAGATTCCATTTGTGGTTCCCATGGTGCTTTTATTACCGATTTAGTTTACTTAGAACACCCTCTAGCTTCAGCTTCACTGAAAATCAGTATCCCTTCCCTTTGGACCATAGTGCTAGGAATCAAACCCAGGGCTCTATTCACGCCGGGCGATGGCTGCACCACTCATTGATAACCTCTTTCTTCTTAAAGGCCGAAAAATACTTCATCATATACCACATATATGTAGATACATGTGTCTATATCACAAATTCTTTGTCCAGTCATCTGCTGACATATTGTCTCTCTGTTTAAGATAAATGCTACTGTGCACATAAGACATAATTGATTCATTTCCCTATAATAACTGAGTATATATATACAGATTTGGGATTCTTAGAGCATATAGTATTCTATCGTTAATTTTTATGAGGAAACTCCACACTGGTTTTTTGAGGATTTTTTTTTTTGACCGTTCACATTTCCAGCAGTTTTGGGGTTCCATTTCTCCACATCACGCTTCTTCATTTCAAAAGAAGGGGAAACAAATGAGCCTTCTGAGCAGCCTGTTAGGGTGACGGCTCTACCCGAGATCCCTTAAGTGCCACAGTTACTGTGAGCTCTCAAGCATTTAAGCCGGGACTGCTGGAACATGTCTGTCATCCCATCATTGAGAGGTACAATTGGGACCATCAGACTTAGGCCAGTCTCCATTCCGTGGAAGGTCATAGGTCATCCTGGGTTATGAGACTCTATCTCATTTTTTAGAAGAAAATTATCGGGGTATCGTGTGGCTCAGTAGTAGAACACATACTGAATGTGTGCAGTACACACAAGACCTAGGTTAGATCCTCAGCAGCACCCACTCCCAAGAAGAGTTCCTCCTCAAGGGTAATAAGGCAAAATCCAGAGTCCTGGGTTGTCCTAAGCGTTCAGTGTCCCACACTCTTGAAGGTCTTCCTTCTTCAGTGATACACACACACACACACACACACACACACACACACACACACACACAATGTTTAGTATTGGTTTTGGATACTAGAATTCTTGTTATAAGCCAGGCATCCCATGCGGGTCATTAATGGGTACAGAGGCAGTCATTGTGTTTCGTTGCAGTGTGCCCATTGTCACTGTTATCCTGCTACATGACATCAACATAGTTTAGATTTTTCCTATATGTGAGTGTGCATATGTGTATATACTTGCTGTAAGTACCTATAGTACTATATATAGTAACTTTGCAATTAAGAACACTGCCTGCTCTTCCCAAGGTCCTGAATTCAATTCCCAGCAACCACATGGTGGCTCACAACCATCTGTAATGAGATCTGGTAGTCAGTCATCTGCATCCACTTAGACCATGAAACCCAATATGGACAAGTTCAACAGAACCGCCACATACTGGCTGCCCATGCGTGCTTCAGCATTGCCAGGGCATAAATTTCATTTTTTCAAAAAAAAATAGTTGTAACACACATACTACAAGGCTAGTTCCAGGTCAGGCTCCAAAAGCTACAGAGAAACCCTGTCTCGAAAAACCAAAAATAAATAAACAAACAAACAAACAAATAAAGATTTATGTTCATGGATGTTTTGCTGGCATGTATGTCTATGTGAGGGCATCAGATCCCTGGAACTGAAGTTACAGACAGTTACGAGCAGCCATGTGGGTGCTGGAAATTGAACCTGGGTCCTCCAGAAGAGATGCCAATGCTCTTAACTGCTGAGTCATCTTTTTAGTACCATTTTTTGTTTTTGTTTTCTTTCTTCTTCTTTTTTTCCCCCCAGACAGGGTTTCTCTGTGTAGTTCTGGCTGTGCTGGAACTCTCTGTAGACCAGGCTGGCCTCAAACTCACAGAGATCAGCCTGCCTCTGCCTCCCAAGTGCTGGGATTAAAGGTGTGCACCTCTACAGACTGCCTCTTGCTTGTTTTCTAATGAAAGATCTAGAAAGGGTGTGGATTGGGTTGGGTTACTCTGGGAGAGAGAGAGAGAGAGAGAGAGAGAGAGAGAGAGAGAATAAGCCTTAATTAGAGTATATTAAATGAATAAAACCTATCATCAGCCAGGTGTGGTTGTGCACACCTTTAATCCCAACACACAGCTAGGCAGTTGCAGGCAGAACTCTGTGAGTTCAAGGCCAGCCTGGTCTACTAGAGCTAGTTCCAGAGCAGTCTCCAAAGTGACAGTGAATCCTGTCTGGAAAAAACAAAAAGAGAAAAAGAAAAAGAAAGAAAAGAAAGAACATTATTTCCCAACTAATCCATTTTTTTGAAATACAGAGGTGCCATTCACATATTCCTGGAATAATGTTTTCTTCAGGTTGGTGAGATGGATCAACAAGCCAAGGTATTGCCACTAAAGCTAACAACCTGAGTTTGATCCCAGGACCCATGTGGTGGAAAAGAATCAGCTCCTCTTAAGTTTTGCTCACAAGCACGTTAATGTGTTTGTATGCGCGTACGTGCACACACACTCACAATAACATGAAAATAGAAGTAAATTGTTTAGGGGGTCAAAGGCACCTAACTGGAGCAGGGAGGGTTAAGAAAAAGGAAGGAGGGGACCAGGGGCATATGAGTTCACCTTACAAAAATACTTATGGATGAAAGCATAATCAGTAAATTAATCATTACATAATGTTTTGACGTTTGAAAGATTTACTTGTATTATTTTCAGTTATGCATAGCCATGTGCGTCTGTGAGTGTGCAGGAGTGAGCACTGGGGCCCTTGCAAGCCAGAAATGTCAGCCCCCACTCCCACCCTGAAGCTGTAGTTACAGATGGTTGAGAACTACTTGATTTGGGTGCCAGGAACCAGACTCTCTCTGGTCCTCTGGAACAGCTTCTCTCTCTCTCTCTCTCTCTCTCTCTCTCTCTCTCTCTCTCTCTCTCT